TGAAACGAAATTAAGCCTATGTTGCTGCCTCGTCACCAGACTGCAGGGCAAAGCATGGCGAAAACAATAGCTAACAGATGCTTCTAAAATGTGGCACAGTTCAGATATTTTGGAACGACAATAAGAAATCAATATTTAGTTAGGAGGAAATTAACAGGCGACTGAATTCTGATGCTTGCTACCATTCAGTTCAGAACCTTTTGTTTTCTCGTCTGCTAACAACGTAAGAAATAGAATATACAAAACTGTAATTTTGCTTGTGGCTCTGTATGGGTGTGAAACTTGGTCTCTGACATTAAGGGAGGAACGTAGACTGAGGGTGTTTGAGAACAGGGTGTTGAGGAGAATATTTGGACCGAAGAGGAATGACGTGACAGAAGGTTGAAGAAAATTGCATAATGAGGTGCTTCGTAACTTATACTCTTCTCCAAGTATAATTACGTAGAATGATCATGCGAAGGGGGATGAGATGGGCAGGACGTGTAACACGAATGGGAATAAGAGGAACGGGTATAGGATATTGATGGGTAAACCAGGAGGAAAGAGACCATTAGGAATACCAAGACGTAGGTGGGTGGTTAATATTACGCTGGATCTTAGAGAGATAGGATGGGGTGGCATCGACTGGATTTATCTGGCTCAGGACAAGGACCAGTGGAGGGCTCTTGTGAACACGGTAATGAACCTTCGGGTCCCATAAAAATGTTGGTAAGTTCTTGATTAGCTGCACGACTGGCCGCTTCTCAAGTAGGGCTCAGCTCCAATGTACGCTCCACTGAGGATTCTGAGGTTTAGGTTCTGTACTTGAGCATGGATTATTTGATAACAATGGTAACAAATGGAGATTACATTCACAAGTATATTAAGAAAACAGAGAACTCTGACTACCAGTGAGTTCAGGACACTTCCCACCACCAGTACAGAACCATGTGAAGCTACTTATAATTTCATATTTGTTTCTTCGTGAAACTTGGGCCCTCTTCCTAAGGAAAGACCACGAATTGAGGGAATTTGAGAACAGGTAGCTCAGGAGAATGTTGTAGTCTAAGAGAAGATAAAGTTGTCCCTGTGTTTAATTCACTAACTACCATGGCATGAAAGCGTATGGGGGGAGCAGAGATATAGTTCCTTCATTCTTGACTTCTGCACTAGATGGAGGTGAGTGGTCAGCTTCAAGCTTCTTCTGCTTTTACTCCCGGGGAAATAATCCCCGGTACTCATTGGATAGGAGGTTGGGTGGCCCCAGAGCCGGTCTGGACGCTGTGGAGAACAGAAAAATTTCTTTCCCTGCCGGGAATCGAATCCCGACCTCCGTCCCGTATCGCGTTCCGATATCGACTGAGCTACTCCAAGAGAGGAGGAGTAAGAGGAGCTGAATAACGATACCTTCACAAATCGCACCCTCCGCCAAACATGACGAAGGTGACCAAGTAAAAGAGGATGAAATAGGCAACGTATGCTGCAAGAATGGGAAATTCGAAGAATGAATACAAAATTTTGATAGGAGAACCTGAACTTGGTTGGGAGGGGATCCTAAAGAAATACGTGTAAGATATGAGGTCGTTCACTACGTTCACACGACTCAGACTGGTGGGCTCTTGTGAAGAAGTGGGGAATCTCTTGTTTAGGTGATCTATTTGCGCCTCACGAATGACTCCACTTCCTGAAGGGAATTAATTGAATATACTGTAATAAGACCTCCCGATGTAGTCAAGTGGATGACTCAACATCTAGACTCATGCAGTCAATGTATTCTTTCAGAATCATATCAGGGTGTTACATGGATAAGCATATAGATTGTGCACAACATCATGTATGAGTTTCTCTTCCTAGAAGCCAACTTTAATCATTTGATAAACGTAACTTAGAGTTACAGATTCTTCCATCTGCCGTAAAAAGATAATGAACGTAGTTTGTTTATGATTATATCACCCAGTCTCCCAGTTTCCTTCGTCCTCTGTCTCTCTGGCGATTGGTAATTATATAACAATGCATAAAACGATCCATGCACACAGATATTTCGTCCTTAAGGAACCACATGTGATTGATCGCACAAGACATTCTATTGTGAGCATACTTTCCTTATTTCGAAAAATAAAAGAAGGCTTATGAGATCACCTTGTTGTCTGTGTGTGTATGTATCCCGCATTAACTCTTGAGCAGAGAGTTGTCCTCTAAAAATAGCTTCGAGTCGGACCACCTCAAACAATTCCTCTGTTGATGGCCTGCATTACAGTGTTTCCACCTTAATATTGCTAGGCAACGGCCCGGTAAACGCGTTCCTAATCATTATTACCCTCTTATTATAATAAGCAAGACGTGTTATGTTATAGCCTATCTTTTTCGGAACATGAACTGAATGAAAAGTAAGAAATATTATGTTTGGTACTTGAAATGCACTAACTTTTATGCGTCTGTTAAGAGATAAGGGTCTAGTGTTTTTGTTTGCATTGTCTATAAGGTTCATTGAGACGCGACAGCCACTCATACACATTTGTAAGCGTATTAGCATTATGTAATGTTTATTAAGGATGTGTGGCATTGGAAGAAATAAGTAGTTTCATAATTTCAGTACGATCTCTTGTACGAGACTTAGTCGGTGTAGCGATGGGTTGGACGGTATGGTTTCGCATCCAGGCAGGATCAAGGTTTTCTGTTCTCCACAACACCCCGACCGACTTTGCGGCCCACCCAGCCTTCTATTCAATGCGTACCGGAGGCGAATTCCCTGGAATTAAAGAAGCCGGGGCGTGAAGCTGACCACTAAGCTCCAGCTAGTGTCCAAGTCAAGAAATGTGGAGCTATACCTCCATTCCCCCATTTGTTTTCATGTCAAAGTAGTTAATTTATTAAATATGGGGAAAAATACTTTTTTTACGTACTGTGGAGGCAGGCGGTGGCGTAGTTGACTGAGGCACCATGCCGGAAGGTCGCGGGTTCGATTCCCGTTGAGGTCACTGAATTTTTCTTCAATTGACCTGATCCTTCCAGCCGCATTATGGCACTGCGGTCGACTCAGCCTCTAACAGAAATGAGTACCAGGAATCTTCCTGGGGGGTTACGGCCGACCGGCACGTAAGGCTGACAACCTCACCGCCGTCACCGCCATCTGTGAGCCGATTGTCTAGAAAATGTGAGAGCCTCGACGTCTCACAATCCTATGGATCGCCACTCCCTGTTACAAGGACAGCTTTATTTTGTTACCTACTGTAAGAAAACCTGAGTGAATAAAGGCTACTTTAACTAGTGAACTTTGCATTGAGACTGACGGGTTATGCATTCATACGCCGTGACATATCGGCAATCACTTCAGCTGTACCGTACTGCGGGCAAACATACGCAATAGTTTGCAGGTGTCGGGTATCATTGCCTCTTGCATTCTTAATTATGCTTTCTCAGAGTATCAAGAACATACATCATTACTCAGAAACTACTTTAATGACATCTACCGTTTCTTGGCAGCAGCTATTATGACACTTATGTTCAGTGACTATCCAATCTTTGAAGGTTGTTTCAAATCTGTCCTGAATCCGAATACAGATTTAGTTTCAATAATAACAAATAATATGGCGAAGAATTATTAGTAGTCAACACGATCCTTGTTTAACGTAAGATCGTTCTATTTTATCGGCCTGTCCCTGCTGCGTGTGCATGTAGAGGTTCATACACGGAGGTTGCCTTATTCGTAATTGTAAATACTGCACCGTCAACGACAGAAATATGGCTACTTCTGAGGCAGGAGCAAATGTAATGTCATGAAACTAAGTTCTGTCTTCTCTTATCAGAGAATATTTACTCTCTCAATAACTGCCAAACGGCTGTGTCATTAGTTGCTATTAGAAGTACACCTACAAATCTTGTACTAGGAACCTTCTCCTACCTTGGCGATTAAGTTCCCTTACCTATTCCCATTGAGAACAGATTAAGAAATTATGAATCTTATTGACAGACAGGCTGGTAACATTGTACGCCTGATGATGACCCAGTATAAGGGTCGAAACATATAAATAAAAACATCTTGATACTGTCACGTGTTGGGTGTATAACGCGACAAATAACTTTACGCCGTATTGATACAGCGAATTTTATTGCACATTCGCTCTTACAGTCACAATTACTGCCCTCGGCAGTATCACAAATTAACACATCAAATCTTCTAACCACGCGTTCGGGTTTTCTTACCGCGACTGCTGCTATATTGCAACTGTCATCGGCGGCTGCTACATTTGAACTGTCTTCTTAGGCAGTGCAGTTCTCTTATAAACCATCAGCCAGACAACAGGAAAACGCCTCGCTTCCTTGTTGAATAGTCGCTGTGTTTACAGGTGTTGCTGGGCAACGCTGTCGAGAGTTGTTTACTGCTGCATAGCAACCGCGGCATCCCCCACTACGTCACTGTGGGAAGCGCTGCCACGTCACCGCGGGGTGGGGGCGGAATGTTGACTGGCCTGTTACCGTAGTAGCGACAGCGCTCCGATGTTACGTCACCGTTGGCAGGGGAGGGGGTGTACTGCATAGCGCAAATGCGTCACACTACCACAGTGTCTACTTTGTTTTAAATACAGAATATTGTTGTGTAGACTGTCATACTTGTATACGCAGTATATACCGATTATAACACAACAGGATGCATACTAAGAACGCATACTAAATTGATAGTTCTATAAGGCAGTATGAAACACAAAGCAGTTTGGATCGATGCTTGAATGAACACACCTATGGTAGACATATGGATAAGAAATGGTCGCACCAGACACCAAAATGTGTAAGAAAACACGTTTAGTCGCGGTGGGTGAAAATTCTAATCGACAACAGATGTCCTTCTGATGTTTACAATACAAGTAACAGAGTAAGACATACAGTGAGTTCCCTAGACAGGGTAACCATGAAGTGAAGTTGTGCATTAAGGGTTGGCCCGACTTGATAGAAACAGCGTCCGACTCCACCTCAAACCGCGCTCACAAAAAAAAAAGTACATAATTAATGAATCAGATACTGACCTAGCGTTGTGCACTGATGACATTCGGCTAAAGGGAGATTCTGGTGTATTCTCTTCGTTACACGAACCTGAAATAAATAAAAAAGAAATTTCTTATACTTAATTGTCAGTTTCTGTTATGGAAAACATTTTCTAGATAGCCATAGTCTGTAAAAATAAAACCACAAATTGGCCCTCTGTCATTGAGCAAGATGTTTGTAGACAAAGTGCTGAAGTGTTTTTTTTTTCGTATATTTTCAAACACATTCATGCACAGAAATGTATACCGTCTTTCTGAAAAATCGGTGTATAGTTTGTATCAGTACTTCAGTTTGGCCTCAGTATGATAATGAAATTAGCGACTGAGGATTGAAAGGATGAAACCTATAAGGGTTAATCTCTTCTGTGAAACCAAAGACGGAACTTGGTGATTGACACAGATCTACTGCTGTTGGTAACACAGGGAAACCTTGGCGTCTGCAACGGGTTATATGACGTGGTTAGGATGGGGAAGGAATATAAACATATTCGGGAGGAGAATCTACAAAATTAATATTTTGTAGATAGTGAAAGAGTCGATCGCAGTGGCCGCGCGGTCGAAGACTATGAACTGCCTGGGATCGTCGGTTCGAATCCCACTTGAAGCATTGATGTCTGTGTGCGCTTATTCTATATCTGTGCTGTCCCGTGTGCAAGTAGCGGCTTTGCAAACGGCTGATCCCCCGTCCAAGGAGTCCTACCGTCTGTGTAAAAGATCAAGAAACTGAAAAAGTGGCCAGGGCCTAAAAAAGGGCTATAAAGCCATAGATAGATATACAGACAGATAGATAGATAGACGGTAAAACAGATGCGAAGATAATGTTAAGATAGATGTAAGCTGTTTATGGAAGTGGGTTGGGTGGATGGGAGGCGGATGGAACTGGCTTAAGATCTTGTCCAGTTGCGGATTTTGTATTAGCGGTGTAGAACCTTCGGCTTCTGTTACTATAGAATATGTTTCTATAAGAGTGAATAAGTATTCTATCTCTGGACAGAGTATATTGTAGCGTGTATAGCTGTTGCTATGCAATGGCTGTGAGATAGTCGAATATACAGCGACCGTTTCTAAGCAACGGCTCAGTAAACACGTTATCGCGGAAACGAATACGCGCGTAACAATAGACTTAATGTGGAAACGGGGTGTTTTCTGTGTGGTCTGTGCCGAGATGTTATGAGGACAGTTTGAAGCAACCAGTTCATACGACCGTTCAAGTGACTAGACTGCCGTTGTAGCGGAAGCTACTAGAAACAGGTCATACTCTTCTGTACTGAGCCTGACTGAGACCCTGTATATATTTTATATACATTTATTAACATGTTTAACATGCAAAATGTAAATATCCTTTACATTGTGACAAATGACTTACTTCTGCAGACAATGACTCTAACAAAAGACAGACCCTTCCTCTCGTCAGAAGGATGCCCCACAAAACAAGACTGTAACCGTCAAACAGTAATAAATATCTGGTAATGAGCCCCAGATTGTGCTCGACACCAAGACTGACTGACTGACTGACTGAATGACTGATCGTCAGTCGCAATGTGACTTTGACTCTGACAACCAGTTCAGTTGAGCTCTGCAAGGGAGGCTGAGAAGAGACTGCGCTATAGTTGAGGATTCTCAGTTGATAGTTGACAAGAGTTCTGGACGGGCAGCTGTAACAAAAGGACCTGAGCGCGGTTGGCTGAACAATCTCTACTGTTAGAAGCCGTTGTTGGGGAACGGCTGATGAAGACAGCAGGCTGGAAAAAGGCTTAGCGGGTGTTATGGTGACTTGTAAAGCGTGGAGATTAGCGATAGCGCTGTAATTACTTGTAGTTCCCAGTGGTGTGTACAAGTAGTCTATAAATCCATTCACCAATCCATACTCCACCCAGAGTCACTCAGAAGCGTGACAATATTAAAGCATGAATTAGATGAGAAGTACACAAAATATTTTGATCGAGAAACCTGAAAGAAAGAGATCACTTAGGAGATGCAGACACGGACTGAAGGATAAAACTAAAGTAGACCGCAAAAATAGGTTACGGAGAGGTCACCATGATTTGGCAGGTTGATGATAAGGACCAGTGGCGGACCCTTGTGAACACAATGTAAAGTACTATCTTCTGGGATATAACACCGTGTAGTGCGTTGAAAGCCAACAGATGTATCGGAGGAACATATCGCCTCCATCTTCATGGTCGAATAAGTCGAGCCAAATACCAGCGTGAAACCATCACTGTGAGAACCTCACATCCTACACAATAATGCAACTTTGGGCTACAAAAAGCCGGGTATATTTTTCGCCAGCTGAGCTACTGTTAGATTCTCAAGATGGATTCTATCCCATACAGTCAGTTAAAAGCACAATGCACTTTGATTCACACGAATTGTTACAGTAGCCATATGGCGAGTTCTATATATAGTTTGCATGAAGGACCCTGCTCTGTGGAGTGGCCCAACGCAAAATGTGTTTTTGCATAGGAGTGTACAACTGTTGTCACATTACTGTGACCCTGTAGCACTTGTCCGTTGCATCTTGTTACGATGGAATCCCTGCACAGTCTTATGTGACCCTTACCGTTATACTTCGGACAAATGAATGAGCATCGCATACGAACATTTTTAAGTTACTTGTACTTAAGAATAAACTGTCTACGCTTATCTATGGCTCTATGGCCCTTTGTTGGACCTTGGCTGCCTTTTCAGTTTCTTGATCTTCTACACAGTCTGTAGGGCTCCTTGGATAGGGGATCAGGTCGTCGCAAGGCAGCTACCTACATAGAACAGCATAAACACAGAATAAACACATACAGACATCAGTGCGTCAAGTGGAATTCGAACCCACAATCCCAGTGCTTGAGCGGGCGAAGACAGTTCATGCCTTAGACCGCGCGGCCACTGTGATCAGCTACTATATCTATATACGTTACTAATCAACTAACTAACCGACTTTCTGGAGTAGAGCGGTTATTGAAAAGCTGGAAAACACTGAGCTGGGAAATGAATTTCTCGCCTTGTTGGGAAACTTAAGGTTCATTAACTCGTTCACATGAGCCGGTAATTGGTCCCTATCCTAAGCTAGATGAATTCACCGTACACCCTTCATCATACGCATTTAAGATTCATTTTAATATTATTTAATACTGTCCGTATATGCACGCATAGGTCTTCCGCCTGATTTTCCCCATTCATTTTAGACCAAAATCTCGTATGCATTTCTCACATCTCCCATTCGTTATATGTGCCCCGTCCGAAACAAACAGACAAACTAATTTATTAATTAACTAACTCCATGGAGCTTCTAGAAATATTATAAAACCCGAAAGCTCTTCACCGTGTCACAAGAGCCGGCCACTAGTCCCTATACTCAACCAGATGAATGCAGTCCATACCATCTCATCCTGTTTCTCGAAGGTCCTTTTTAATATTGTGTCATATACACCCGTTGCTAGGAAAAGACCTCGAAACAAACAACGAGTACAGCCGTTAATATGAAATAGGCGAATAAACAAATGATCGTTTCTGAGCAACGGCTGGGTAAACACGTTCCCGCGGAACAGAACACGCAAGCAGCAGTAGAAAACGGTGTTTTCAATGTAGTGCGTGCAAAATGTTTATAAAGAAGGGAACTGGGGCAATCCAGTCAGTTGAGCTCTGCAAGGGAGGCTGAGATGAGATCGCGCTATAGTTGAGTTGACAGTCGACAAGAGTTCTGCACGGAAGGCTGTGACAAAAGGACGAGAAAGGGAAGCTGGAGGATCTCCAATGTTAGAAGCCGTTGCCAGAGAACGGCTGTTTAAGACACAGCAGGCTGGAAAATGTTTAGCGGGTGCTGTGGTGATTTTTAAAGTGTGGAGATAAGCGATAGCGCTGTAATTACTTGTAGTTCTGAGTGGTGCGTATAGGTGGTCAATAAATGTATTCAATAAACAATACCCTCTCTATTGTCGCACACACCTAAATCGTGACGGTATTATCCCCATACCTACGAGTAGGTTTCTCTAGTGGTCTCTTTTCTCCTGGTTATCCCACTAAAACCCTGTATGCATTTCACTTCTATCCCATGCGTGCTACATGCCATGTCCATCTCATCCTCCTTGACTTAACGATTCTAATTATATTTGGAGAAGAGTACAGGTTATGAAGCTCCGCATTATGCAGTTTTCTCCAACCCTCTATTATTTCATCCCTCTTAGACAAGAGATACTGACTAACAGACTTCATGAAATAAGCCATTCTTGAGAAGCCTTGTGCAGCTACTCAAGGATTTCTCAGCATTTTATGGAACCTGAATGTTCAGTACCGTGTTCACAACAGTCCTCCACTGGTCCCTATCCTGAGCCAGGTCGATCCAGTCGATACCACCCATCTTCTCTCTCTAAGATCCACCTACCTACAGCTCGGTCTTCCTGATGGTTGGTTGCTTTCCTTCTGGATTTCCCATAAAAATCCTATGTGCATTCCTCTTCTCCCCATTCGTGCTAAATTCCCTAGCAATCTCATCCTCCTTGACTTACTATTTCTGTTTCGCGAGGAGTACAAGTTATGAAATTCCTCATTATGTAGTCTTCGCCAGCCTTCCTTCATCATCCCCTTCTGCCCAAATATTCTTCTCAGCACCCTGTTCTCAAACACCCTCAGTCTGTGTTCCTCCCTTAATGTCAGAGAACAAGTTTTGCACCCATTCAGAATCATAGTCAAAATTAGAGTTTTGTATATTCTATTTTTTATGTTTCTAGACAACAGACGTAAAGACAAAACTTTTCTGGATTGAATGGTAACAAGCATTACCCGAATTCAGTCTTCTCTTAATTTCCTCTTGATAGCGTCGGTAAATACAATGCTAACCATATTGTGGCGTGCCGCCAGGAAGGACGGACTGTAGAACGTCCATTGCTGCTCAACGACTAGCAATTCCTAGGCAACAAAACATAAACAGACCGTTGCCTAGGGAAGTGTTTAAGCGACAGAGACCGAATTGTTGAGTTCCCACAACAACAATAGGGCATCCATTGCTAGGAAGTGCATGGGTAGACACGCCTAACAACAATAAATGATATTTGT